ACGTGTCAGGGGCGGAAAAATGGCCGCGGACCACGTGTCAGGGGCGGAAAAATGGCCGCGGACCACGTGTCAGGGGCAGAAAAATGGCCGCGTATCCTGCTCGTACCCCGAGGCGGAGTTTGCAAATCGAGGTAAATTTTTGCGCCCGTGCTGGTCGTAACCCGAAAGGTTCGTTAACAGAGGCATTCGTAACCCGAGGTACCATTGTACTGGATGCCTACCTAGAAATTCTGGAAGTCATCATCTCAGAAAATTTGTAATGCCCCAGGTTATTGAAGGCCGTAGCTTACATTGAGACAGTTTACTAGAGTAGTTTTAGCTTTGGATAAGCTGCTTTTGGAAGAGAAATGAAAGTTACTTGGTCCATTTATTTTAAGGCTGAATCCTCAACATGAAAATGTGCTCGGCTAACTAACTTTCATTAAACACATCACATGCCAAGAACAGTTGTTGACGAACTTCTACACCCAAAGATTTATGGTTGATTTAAGATTGATAGATTTGAAAAATTTCTATCACCCAGCTGTCAGCCATATTTCAGGAAATTGAAATACATATATTTTTCTCTCCCCTCTCCCTCTTTATTGACCAGACTTGGATAAACAGACTTGAGACAATTAACATGCTGTGCAAAAAGACTCTTTAACTATTACAACATTCATTAGTATTATTGTGGCTACCAGTGTGCTGATATGAAAGGAAGTATAGATTGTTCCCTTAGCTTCCCATTAAGGATTCAGGATTCTTCTCTCCCCAGGCAGATATTCGGTTTGAGATTTTTAGAATGGTAAAAGCTCATTTTCCTATCTTCTGAGACTTATTCATGAGATTAAGCAATGTTATCGAGAAGAAAAATTCTGACCTTTAATAAAAGGGGAAACTTATCTTTGTTTTGTTTTGTATTCTAATTTCCTGGCAGCCAGAAATCATTGCATGTGACATGAACCATGATGAGGTTGTCTCCAATTTATAATATGTACTTGACATTTTGATGTGATGTGTAAGAATCTAAGACAAAGGTTGATTAATGTGAATTCTTTGCAATAAGGGACAAAAAAAGGACAGACAAATGTCCTTATTTTGCTGAAATTTAATAATGGCTTATTTAGACTACATTCTTTTTGTAAGAAAATTAATCCTCTAGATAACTAAAGATCTACAGTACTTTTAGTGACTAATACTTTATTTTGAACAGTAGCATGAATGTTACATAATACAGTGAGTGTAGATTGTTATTTTTCCAATGAAATAGGTAGTTTTAGTAA